CTTTATGTTCTTGCATCCTTTGTCATAGATTAAATGACCGTATTGTTGTGGGCTTATTTCTGGGCTCTCTATTCTGTTTCGTTGATCCATGTGTCTGTTTCTATCTATGCCAATGCTATGCTATTTTGATTACTATAGTCTTGTAGTATAGTTTCATATCAGGTAGCATGATACCTCCAATTTTGTCTTTCTTAAGATGGCAATAGCTATTTGGAGTTTTTTGTGGTTTCATATAAATTTTAAGAATATTCTAATGCTGTGAAAAATGCCATTGGTATTTTGATAGGGATTGCATTGAATCTGTAGATTGCTTTAGGTAGTATGCACATTTTGACAATGTTAATTCTTCCTATCTGTGATTATGGTATATGCTTTCATTGAATTGTATCTTCTTATCTTCTTCAGTTTCTTTCTTTAGTGTCTTGTTGTTTTCCAAGTATAGGTGTTTTACCTCTTTGGTTAAATTTATTCCTAGGCATTTTATTTTATTTTTTTGATGCAATTGTAAATGGGATTGTTTTCTTATTTTCTGTTTCTGACAGTTCATTATTGGTGTATACAAATGCAAATGATTTCTGAATATTAATTTTGTATCCTGCTACTTTACTGAATTTATTTATCAGTTTTAATAGTTGTTTTGGTGGACTCTTTCAGGTTGTCTGTATATAGTATCCTAGCATCTGCAAATAATGACAGTTTTACTTTTTCCTTTCCAATTTGGATGCCTTTTATTTTTTTTTCTTGTCTGATTGCTGTGGCTAGGACTTTCAATACTATGTTGAACAAAAGTGATGAAAGTGGGCATCCTGTTCTTGTTTCTGATCTTAAGGAGAATGCTGTTAGCTTTTCCCTGTTGAGTTATGTTCCCGCTGTTCCCACTTTGCTGAGAGTTTTTATCATAAATCGGTGCTGGATTTTGTCAAACACTTTTCTGTATCTAGTGATACGATCATATGATTTTTATCTTTTCGTCTCGTTTATGTGGTGTATCACAATAATTGATTTGCAGATATTGAACCAATCTTACATCACAGGAATAAATCCCACTTGGTCATGGTGTATGATCTTTTTAATGTGGTGCTGAATTCAGTTTGCTAATATTTTGTTGAGGATTTTTGCATCTGTGTTCATCAGGGATATCGACCTATAATTTTTTTGTGTAATGTCTTTTTTGTAATGTCTTTGTCTGTTTTTGGAATCAGGGTAATGGTAGCCTCGTAAAATGAGCTTGGAGCCTTCCTTTTTCTTGACTTTTTGGAATAGTGTGAGAGGAATCATTGTTAATTCTTCTTTCAATGTTTGGTAAAATTCACCTGTGAAGCCGTCCTGTCCAGGACTTTGTTTGTGGGGAGTTTTTTGATTATTGATTTGATTTGGAAGTAATCTGTTGGTTCAGATGTTGTTTCTTCTTGGTTTTGTCTTGGAAGATTATATATTTCTAGGAATTTATCCATTTCTTCCAGATTGTCGAATTTGTTGGCATATAATTATTTGTAATATTTTCTCATAG